TCTCATCATGCGTATAAATAAGTGGCCATTAAAATTGAAATTTTTGAGAAAAACAAAACATAGTCTAAAATTTCAGGAATGAAACAGTAATTGTATGTGGCATTTTACAAAGGAAAATTGCTCGAACGTTTCCGATACGTGTAAAAATATCGACTTAATCACAAAAAAAATCAAATTTTGGGACTATTCTGCCGCATAACAGACCAATGTTATGGCAAAGCTATGTTATCAAGAACTTTCCATACAAATTTGTACTAATATTGACAAAAGCTATCTGGCTGTGGTGCACTCAGGCGCGATTTTCTCAGGTTGCCAGATAGAAAACATAACCTAGAAACCGCTCAAATGTCAAAAAACGATGTTAGATAACAGGGTCTTTCTGACTCAGGTTCATAACATAAGAGTGATGTTGCAGTTTATGAGTAAAACGCCTGAATGCATGATATTTTGGCAGTATTCAGTATCATTCGTAGCATAATATATGAAAGTTGGAGCGTAACATGGTCTTGCTATAACATTTGCCTGTTATGCGGGAGAAGCGGCCCTTAACTCAGTTAAAATTTTCAATTGTTTATTTCAAAAATCTATATTTTGCTTTTCACCAATAACTAGTTGTTATCGTATTACAATTGTATTTATCACATTTCATTCTATTTTGTAAATGAATTTTATTTACGAATGGACGTCAACAGTGATCATTATAAAACACGGAATATGTTTATACGGTTCATGTAGAAAGATAAACTCTAATAATGCCAAACTTTGATAAATTTTTATAATTCACCTTTTGTAGGCTTATAATATATTTGGATGTTTTTTTTACGCCACAGTAAGATTTTGTATTCTTATTGAGACTTTGTAAAAAATTCTAGTCTTTACCGGTATTTTACTGTCGCATTTACGTTATGGCTTGACTCTGATAATACATACTGTTCGATCAGTACGCCACGATTAACTGGTTAATGTTGAACTTACAGAAGTAATAAAAATTTAATGAGGAAGCAGTATTTTGTCATGTGGTTTATCATATTTGAAAATCCAGAAAAATAAAACAAATCTTACTCAAAGCAAGCAAGCTTTCTCGGGCTTGAAAAACTAGCATGAAATCTAGCACGACAAAATCAAGCATGCTATCCAACTCAGAAAACAAGCGTCGTGTTAACAGAGCTTATCCGTCGAGTAAAGTCTATGAATACTAAACTCACAAAATTAACAAAAATTTAACATTGTATTGTTACAAAAGCTAACCAATAGGTGTTGAAGCAAGAGGTGTACATGGCAACTAACGGAATCTATTGTAAATTAACTGCTGCTATGCAATTTTTGGACTAACAGTTGACTGAAGCTTATTAATACTAAACTTACAAAAACAAAAAAAAAATACAAAAGTTAACCAATAGGTGTTGAAGCAGGAGGTGCGCATGGCAACTAACGGAATCTCGTGTAAACTAACTACTGCTAAGCAATTTTTGGACTAACAGTATTTTGGATTGAAATTTATCAAATCTGAACTAATGTTTCAATCATCATCTGAATCCCAGGATGCAGATCTGACGCCAGTCACCCGTTCCCTGGTTGATGCCGTACAGCGTACATTCCCGTTGCAGCGATACACACCAGTCACCAGAGCAGAGAAAATTCAGGCGTTCGTAGCTGCACATCTTCCTTCATCTGTCTACGACGTCATATACAACAAATGATGAAGATTTTATCAAATTGTCAGGAAATCATATTTGCGTTGACTGAGCACGGCTGGTCTGGAAACTTGTCGGTCAATAGAATCAGCAATTTCAATTCACAGTAGATGATGGTATTGGTATTGGCATGGTCTGTCTTTTCTCATTTCTACCTGAGATTGTTTCCGACGAGCCGTGCTCAGTCAAGTCTGATTCGGCAAATACGCAAAAGTTAAATATCAAATGACCAAAAGTGTATAATTACATTTAGGTAACTAGATATGGAGATTGCGTAATTGGCAGTTCAATACGAGATCGATCGAAATTGAAATTGTGTTCAAATATCTGTACCATAAGTTATATTAATAATATGTATGATATCTGATAAATAAAAAAAAAGTAAGTAAAATGGTTTTACTACACTGAACTATTTCAGATCGTAGTTAGAATATCTAATGGGTAAACCTTTGTTATCCCTGAACTATTATAACAATTATGGGGCAAATCCTCGGATAAAATACAAATGTTATGTTATGGAAATATAATTTTATGAGTTGGTAATCATAAACCGTCAAAAGTTATCTTTATATCTTTTCTTCGATCGAGCGTTTTATACATAAAACCTAACTTCCAAAATATTCACTTTGGTTAGACTTCACGTGTTGTTTTCAAAGTGACAACATAAAGTTGCACTTATGATATAATTATTGTTAGACATTTGTGCCTTTTGGAGGTTAAGTTTTATATGTAAAACGTTCGAACAGCAAAGATATAGCTTTTTGACAGTTTGTGATTACGAACTCATCCGATTATAAACCAGTAACATTCTTCTATTTTTTTTTATTTTCATATAACTACAATTTGCCTAGTGAGGCATTCAGAAATTTTGGTGCCAAATGTGTAGATATAAGATTTGAAAACCCAGCGACTACGCAGTGGCAGTCATTCAATAGTTTGAAAATTGATGAGATTAAAATACAGGAATGGAATAATAATGTATATATGTAATAATATATGTAGTTTTATGTCTTCTATGATAAATTGTGATATGTGTACATTTAAGTTCGTATTTGTGCTAGAAGTATTCGTACATGTGGCTTTCCTTTACAAAATTTATAGCCCGCACGTATTGTATGCGTAGGATTATACGGGTTCATCAAATAAGCTAATAGTATGTTTGAGCAACGCTATGGAGAATGATCATGTTTCTATTATATTATATTCCAAGCTATAACATAGTAGTACATATCCAGTCTAAAAACTACTTTAGCATTTGATCATCTATGCAATTATCTCTCTACTAAATAGAAAACCTAACCTAGAAACCGCACAAATGTCGAAAAAGCGATCTTAGATAACAAGATCCTTCTGACCCAACTTCAAAACAAACAAGTAACGTTGCAGTTTATGTGTAAATCGACTGAATGCACAGCAAATACATGACATTTGATAGTATTTAGTATGATTCAGTAGCATAATATATGAAAGTTGGAGCGTAACATGGCCTTGTCATAACATTGGTCTGTTGTGCGGCAGAATCGGCCCTCGGAATCGGAAGATTCCGCGATTGTCGGCAATCATCGCTCAGACATGTGACGTCACATACCCATCTATGTTTGAGCACTATATACAACGAAAAACATATCAGGACTACATTACATGTAGTGTAATGTTTACGGTATTATACTTATAACCAATAAATTGCATACTTTTGACTGATTTTTTTTTTTTAATAGGCTTGTTATATATAAGCGTATAGATATAACTGATAACTACACTTCATTTAACACCACAAAATATCGTTGAAGTATTTATTTCTTTAATTTGATATGCTGTTTGTGTTTCCTTATCGATGGCGTTCAATATCGCTCTTTGGCTTATTAAACAAGGTGATGAATCGTATTAAGCGTTAAGAAATATATATTAATATATGTCACTGACGTCAAGTGACGTATTATGCAAGAAGTCGTATCACACGCATTTTACTAAAACTAATTTTTACTGTATATGGTAAATGCCTGTTCCAATTTGTTGACTACCATCTATTGGGACACATCGAAATGATCATAATAAAATAGTTTTGTGTTAACAATTGTTATCGGTTGTTTCAATCAGCCGTGCAAGACATATGCATAGCGAATTCGGGTATAATTTTGGCAACGTAGGTAGAGGGGATAAAAGAGTCAAGCATGCATTGTTAAGACATTGTTGATATCGCATCAGACGTAGTTAGAAGTGCAAGCGAATCAAACGTGAATAAAAGTGCAAGGTAATAATAGCCATACGTAAATTAATTTGTATCTAACTTGCTGAAATAGGCTGAAATTAACTAAGAAGCCAATTTTTCGATAAAATAGAAATGTTATGGGTCTATAATCATATGAGTTGGTAGTCTCAAAATGCAAAAAAGCTATGTATTTTCAGAGCGATCAGGTGTTTGACACTTTGGTTTTTGTATAGGCAATATTTTTCCCGGATCATAGATAATCTGACTAGTGGAGCATGGCATCGTGCCTTGAGGCAAATTGCTGGAACTTCCCGTAGCGTAACGAAATGTTCGAGAAATAATAAATGTTTTAAATAGATTATTACAAATACTGTAACATTGTCTCTTATTTATTTATAAAAAATATATAAATTGAATTATAAAGTTAAAATTATTTATTCAAAGTATATAAGTGAACCTTTAGAACTTTAGTCAGAATTAAGATTAAAATTTGAATTATTTTCGATATACAAAAAAAATCTTTGAAAATTTTTTTTGAAATATTTTTTTTTAATTTATTGTTCATAGCAAACAGGTAAACAGAGTACATTCAGCTACTTTACAGGTATAAATATAGAATAATTTGAAACAAGTTTTTTCCACAATCAATTATTTTGTTAAAACAAGCAGTAAGTTTTTTGAATCATTCAAATCGAATGCTTAGTTCTCTCAAAAACTGCCATTTTTTGCACATTTATCTCTGTTTCTTCGAAATGGCTGGACCTGCCTTTGCCAAAAACTAATCACCACTTCTCCTAATCATTACAAATTGAATATTTTTTGGATCATTCAAATCGGATACTCCGTTCTTTCAAAAACTCGATTTCTATTTTCTGCACACTTTGCTCCGTATCTCCGTAATGGCTGAACCTGCCTTTGCCAAAAACTAATCAGCACATTTTCCTACCAATAGGAATCGAATGTTTTTTGAATCATTCAAATCCATACCCTTTTTACAGTTTGTGACTACCAACACATACGATTTTAGACTCGAAGCATAATAGTTCTGTTTTATCGCAGAATTGCCCTCTACATTACTTTTCTACTTTTAGGTTCTATCAGGAAATTGCCAGAATAGAAACATACAAACTTTGTACATAAAACGCAATAATGTCTCAAAGTAAGTAATATTATTTCTGCTGCGTACTTGTTAAATCTGACGCCGATTAATTATTATTTTGACGTGTTGAATAATGAACTGTAAACATATTGCATAATCCACCTGGCTGTATAAATGTAAGTTTGTAGTATATTGTTTTCAGATAATTTGTAATAAAAAAAGTGAATAAAATAAAACACCCCATTAAGATGATTATGCTTGATACGATTTCTCGTATAACATACTCTTGGTAATTTGGTAATCGTTTTAACGGGGTTTTACTGTAAAAATACACACACTCACACACACACACACACACACACATACATATATATATATATATATATATATATATATATATATATGACTTTTGACAATTGTTTTGACTTCATTATATGGATTTTTTGAATGGATGGCGACCCAGTATTTGTCTAATCCAATTATAACTAATTAACTATACCCGAAGTATTTGTTGTTATTTTTATTATATATATATATATATATTAGGGTGGTCCTTAAAATGGTCATTTTCGAATTTCCTTGCTCCCATGGGCTCAAATGGTTCCAAATTGATAAAAAACAATTCTCTGAAAGTTTTAGCTCTTAATATTAACGTTTAGATAGAGCGCAATTCAATCAAAGTTTGTATGGAAAGAGCATGGAAAAAAATTTGAAAATTAAAAAAATATGTTTTAGGTGTAACTTAGCGACAAATGAATGAGTTTTATTAATTTATTTGTTCGCTAAGTTACATCTAAAAAACATTTTTAAAATTTTTGAAAATTTTTCCATGCTATTTCCATACAAAACTTTGATTGAATTGCGCTCTATCTAAATGTTAATATTAAGAGCTAAAACTTTCAGAAAATTGTTTTTTATCTATTTGGAACCATTTGAGCCTCTGGGAGCAAGGAAATTCGAAAATGACCATTTTAAGGACCACCCTAATATATATATATATATATATATATATATATATATGCAACTATACCCACGAAAGGCTATTTTTATTTACATTGATTGATAATTAACAGTGACTTTACAATATCCAATAGTTTACCTTTTATTTCTGTGCTAAACATCTAATTTTTTTGTGACATCATAATTGCGGTAGAAATTTTTTTGTTCTTACAATAGAAATTACAAAGGTACTGTTTTGTGCTTGTTATTGTAATCTAAATGCGTAGGTATTGACATGCCTCTAAAAATAAATTCTGTAATTTTGCAAAGGATCATACTCGTGTGCACGCCTTCCAGAATATTTCAAACACATGTTTTTTCTGGGAAGACTGGTTAAATCTTGGGAGAATCTTATCTTCGAGATTTATGTTTCCCCGTGGATTAGTGGTTAGAGGTATGGGTTATCATTAAGCAGTTTCAGGTTTGCTACCCGGTTCGGATGGCTTGATGTTGAGCAGTAGTGACATCAGTTTTCACTTCATAGTATAGATAGCAGTGTTTCCAAGTTAAAATTATCTTTCCCAGTATTGCTGTATCAATAAAAATTAGTATTACCTCACTTTAAATAAAAAAGGTTACCCAATTATTTTTTTATAACCATCCCTATTATATGGTTAGTAAAAGTAGACTAATACAAAGTAAAATTACAAACAAAATCTATTCATTTATTACTGTTATAAATATATTTGGTGTGATAATCAATGGAAGTTATTCTGCCTCAAATTCTACAATTTTTCATCATTATACAAGTATATATTAGGGTGGTCCTTAATATGGATATTTTCAATTTGTTTTGCTTCCAAGGGCTCAAATGGTTTCAAAATGATAAAAAAATACTCTGAAAGTTTTAGCTTTCATTATCTATTTGAAGATGGTCCGCCCTTTAACCTTACTCTCATGGAAATAGCATAGGTAAAATTCCATTTGATTTCTTTCTATAACTTAGGGATGAGTGGGATCAAAATTTTGAGAATAACATTGTATATGTTTATTTCTATTATAAATAAAAAAAATACAATAAAAATTTGGTATATTTTATAAAATAAGTATTTATTTAGGAAGAAGAACCAATAAACTTTGGATGCAGTGCGGACTATCTTAAAGATAATGTTGAGAGCTAAAACTTTCAGAGAATTAGTTTTTATCAATTTGGAAGCATTGGAGCGCCTGGGAGCAAGGAAATTTGAAAATAGCCATATTTAGGATCACCCTAATAAAGGTATTTATATAACTAAATAAATAAATAAATAAATATATATTTATATATATATATATATATATATATATATATATTATGTCGAACAATTTCTATGAATTGCGTAATTCCTGGCTTTGCCGATAGTAATGAGATCAAAGCAAGTGCAATACACCTTTAATTAGTAGAAGCAATTGTGAAATAATTTCGCGTTAAATCGCTCAAAATGGGATTTAATCAGCATTTGCTTAATGTATTGACTTGCTTGCAGATTTATATATTATTTACTCTTTACGTAACCCCATCATGTTTACCACTTGTAAGTGCACTAGACGACTTGATGGTCAAAGTGGGGTTTAAAGATACTTATTGGAAGTGGCGAACATTTAATATTAGATAGTGCTTTGAATTGTTTCTATTTTTATTGAAAATACTAATTTGTCAAGTGTTATAATATTTTGTTAAATATTATTAGACAAAGTAATATTGATAAGTAAGTTTATTTTATATTGTATTGTATGTGGCTATATTGATGGTGAAAGCAAAATAAAAACTAGTGGTCCCGTACTAAAAATGATTTTTTTTCAAAAAGATTAATATTTTTTAAATTTAAAAAAAATAGATTTTTGAGAAATTTTAAACTTTTGAAACAAATTGAATTTTTGGAAAAAAAACTTTTGGCAAAAAATGTTTTTTTTTTTATTTTGAAATATTTTTGGAGATTTTGGAAACGCACACACACACACACATACATCCATTTTTTCAAGGTATGCCACAACGTTCAGAAATCTCTGAAACGTAAAGATATATAAAAATTTTCATTTTCGATTTTTATGCAATTACTATAACTTACCCTACGGGAAGTTAAAAACGAGGTAAATAATTTTTAAAATGGCTATTTTGATTATTATACATTTATTTAGCAGTTTGTTTTTCTAATTATGCTTATCCATAAATCTATATTATAGTAATTATACAAATTTAGTTTGTGCAATAATAATACCACATTGTGCGTTCAATTACAATAATATAACTTTATTCATAAAAAATTCGTGTGATATGAATGTTATATTTAATTAATATGTATCATATTTAAATTTAGTCAACATTGCTAATGACATGCTAAAATAATACTGGGAAAATAATACCGATAATTTTATATATTTTATAAAACTGAATTTGTATGTGAAATCTCGGCAGAATATCTGAAAATATTTTGTAAGAGCAGTTTTAATAGTCGTCTATTAGTTTAAATAGTACTAACATTTTCTGTTTCTGGATCATTAAATATTATCAATTCTGTTTATTTTTTAGTCCCTTAATTTTACAAAGTATATTTATTTCTTGTGTAATTTGCCATCAATGCATAATACAGAATATGGTATTATAAAAAACAAGTGATGTTCGTAGTGCAATTTAAAGTAAGATTTTCAGTCTTCCATCCTTTGAATTCAAATTCAGCGCTTTTTACAAAGTGATATCAAGCAGTAGTGATACCCGTATTTCCTTGAAAATATGGATCCAAATAGATTTTCAAGTGAAAAAATACTTTTTGCTGAATTGCTGCAAAAGTACAATTTTAATTATATAAAAATTGAAAAAAAGTACAAAGATAAAGGACAACCATTGAGTTGCCCTTTAGTAAAACTAACCTCATGACTGCACATCACAATAGCTCATAGAACATTAATATTTTTAACTTTCGAAAGTGAAAGTTTTTATATATATTTACGTTTCAAACGTTTCTGAACATTTTGGCATACCTTAGAAAAAATAGATGTATGTGTGTGCTGTTACAAATTTTTCTTGACGATTTCGAGAACACGTATCAACCGATTTGAATGGTTCAGAAACACATTCGATTTTTATTGATAAGGAGACGTGTTGACTAGATTGTGGCCAAGGCAGGTCCAACCGCTTCTAAGATACGCTACAAAAAGTACAAATATGGTAATTCAGTATTGGATAGAACAGAGCGTTCGTTTTGAATGATTCAGAAAACATTTTCCTTGTGTTGACTAAATGACGAATTGACAGAATTTTTGGATAGGCAGGTCCAGCGATTTCGGAAATCTAATAGAAAAAGTAAAAAATATAAAAACATTTTACAATACTATAACGCGGCGATTGCGCGCTTCGGTAATTCGTCTCTAAAACAACTATGCATCGCAATTGCGTTCAAAAAATGATTCTTCAAAAAAAAAAAAATGAAAAAAATAGATTTATTCAAAAAGAAATTTTATCAAACATTTCAAAATTGGCAAAAATCTAAATTTTCAAAGCTTTTAAATAATTGTTGAAGTTTTTTTAAAATTTTAATTTTTTGGTACGGGAAGTTCCAGCAATTTGCCTTAAGGCACGATGCCATACACTAGTTTCTTTTTATACATATTTTTTTTTACCTATGTTTTGATTTTCTCTAGCCGATGTATCTTCTCTGTATCAACAAGTGACTCGGAACGCGTCAATTATTCAGTTCCCTCCTAGCAGCATCGCTCGCGCAGTACTTAGGAATTTTTTTTAAAAAAGAAAAAAAACATTAGAGATGAACATTATTATTTTGCTGTTATCATATCGTAAAAATACGCAAAGTAATTTTTTGTGCCTTGTACGTGGGTGATGTCAAGCTAAAATATGACCTTTTTTTACGGAACGCTATAACCGACAGAGGGATTATGAAGGGAAATAGTAATGAAATATAAGAAATTGTATTTTTGAGACGAGTTCATTCACTTGGATACGAGTACACGTACATGTATACATACATGAATATTATATTTTGAAATGAATTTTTAAATATATTTTTGGCACATTAATATTTTCGTCATATCATTTCATATTCATTAACATTAAAAATAGAATTAAACTGTTGAAAATATAATTTTATATATATATATATATATATATATATATATATATATATATATACTAGATGACCCGACAGGCGTTGTCCTGTACCCACGTCTACAATTAAAAAGTTCCAATTTTTTTAATATCTTATCCTATACTTTTTGATATTCTACTTGATGTCCTGCCTTTGTTGATATTCTACTGTGATGTCCTGTCATTTATGGTCTAGCGTAAGCAGTATAAGAAATTTAGAAAAAAATAATATAGTATCTGCTGTTATTACAATTGATTTTACCACACAACATAATTGCTTCAATAATTTAGTCTATAGTTTTCATAATCTCGTACGACATATTAGTTGCTTTTTGGCAATTATAATATCTAAAATACATTTTTCTTACTAATAATTTAATAAACATTATTGTTTATGTTCAAATCTTAGTTGATTTGTAAATTTGTAAAATCTAGTACATATGAAAGCATTCTTCAATCTAAAATCAACTTGCTAAATATTCCATATCTAATGCCAAACAAATGAATTTTTGTTACATGAAACACAATTATAATTTGCTTCTAGATATTATTAGTGGCAAATAAAAAAATTACACAAGTATTCGTTTTCTATTAAAATATTATTTCTGTAGGACTTCAACCAACTTTGTATAAAATAATTCCATCGCCTGTGATATACATTGTTCACCTATGCATAACGGGTTTATGCAAAAAGTTTTTAATTTAGTGAATATTCGCGGAATTTTGCGCTGCAGCTTCATATGAACGGTTGAAAACACGTTCAATTAATTCCTTCTATTATATGCATTAAATAAATTTCAGTTAGTAGATGGCCTTTGTAAAGTTCATAGACACTCGGTGCGAGCATAATAAAGTGCAAAATGCCATTGCTGTCCCGAAACACCAGAAAATGGTGTTCACTGATTAAACATATAATTAAATCTTCGGTTTATTAACGTATGCTTTATATAATACTGCGCATGTGTCAATAAACGCGGGTTATGTAATATGCGTTTTGATTTGCTTTGAACATAGTATCAATTGAAAGTTCACATTCATAAATTAATTTTCGTGAGCAGTTGCTGCCAAGATCACTAAAGATGAAAATTTATTTATTGTAATAAGACACAGTTTAATAATAAGGTGCTGTAAGCTAGAATTTATGGAATGCTCAACTGGCATGAAAGACGTAGTGACATAGAATTTCAGATCTTCTTTAACTTATTCTTTTTTTTGGTTTATTGTTCATAGCAAACTATACACAGTACATTCAGCTATTTTACAGACATATATTATTTGACAGCGTGAGAAGGATCGCTATCCTACGATAGCACCTTCTTAGATATTATGTATTTTGATGTATTAAATCATTACAGATTATTTTTTGAAACGCTTTGGTGGTAAAGGCTTGAGCAGGTCACACGCTAATTGGTTTGGATGACGACTTAGACGAGCTTTGTATCTGGAGCAGTAATGATTAATTTCTTCTTCTATAGTTGGAATTGTGAGATCTTGATGTATTAACCAGTTGGAGACATATTTTGTAGCGTTCGCGATTTCTTTCAAAATTTTGTTTTGGAACCTCTGTAGAATAGTTTTGCTTTACTGGCCGCACCCCATAGTTGTAGACCGTAGGACCATATTGGTTTAATAATTGTCTTGTATATTAGGAGTTTATTTTCTATTGAGACTTACTTTTTTAGTATGAAACTCACAAGTTTTGTACCATTTTGAAATCCTGATTAAATGCTAATATTGATGGAATCTAGCACAGCGCTTGCAAAGTCAAGCAAATTTAAAAATTTTAAATTTATAGTTTACCAAGTAGTCCTAATTCTAGAAAAATTAGAACATTATTTTTGACTGTGGTAGGTGCTAGAAATAATATTCACGGTTTCAGTTGTATTATTTTTTTTTTTTTGTTTTTGGACGGCCAATCACTGGATTGGCATTCAATTTAGACATTTCTCAGTTTAACCAAAAATTTGCTGATGTTTTATGATGGAATAGGCACAGATATTAAAATTATCAATGTAGTGTGTTTTATCTTTGTTCAAATTTAAATAGCAAGAAAAATTATGTATTCAATAAGATGTTGTGATGCACATTCTTTAACCTAGTGTTTCTAGAAGGCAACCCAGTGGTTGACTATTCTTTTCTTTTATGAGATAATATTAGATACATTCTAATAGCGATGTGAATATACATTGCAGCTATTTTATCTTGATATCATATTGAGATCGCTAATTGGATGAATTGATTTAGTAATAAGCTTATATCAATATAATTTGGGGCAAAATTTACCCGTTTGAGATCATAAAAAATTACGTGACTCTTAACAAGTATTTGTCAGGTCTATTTGAATTTTAATCATTCTTGAAAAATTGTGCATTTAGTTATCTATCTAATTATCGCTTAAATTGTATTGTTCAAATATTATGTTTAAAATTAAATACTTAATAATATATTGTTATTACTAGGATTTCATATATATGTAGTACCTTAATAATATTTGAATAGTATTCAATATAAATTTTTCATTTTTTATAGATCTGAATTTGATCTCGTTAACTGTTACAACTGGGACCAAGGTGTGTCTTTACCAGGTAATATTTGAATAGTTTTCTCATTATATTAATTGACTAAATATATATATATATATATATATATATATATATAATTTGTTTGAACTAAAATTGATATTTGTTCTCTTAAATGTCGCAAAATGTCATCGTAATTATATTTCACTTGCCAATACACTATGTATCAATCTAAATTTGGCATTGCGCTGTGAAAGGGGTAGAAAATTTAATTTGCAAACAAAATGGTTATTAAAAATTGTGACAAAATTTATTGAAAAATTTGCATAGAAACTTTGCATAGGAAGAGTTTTGCAACACAAAAAGAGAGGCTTATGAATGATAGCTTTTTCATTGATAGTAATATTAAATACCCAATTTTCTCATGGCTAACATTCTTAAATTCCTAATCTAAAAATAATACTTTTTGACCAAGATATTCAAATATTCAGTTATTGCATTCGAATTTTTTGCATGTATCACGTCAGCTCGCTAAAAAGCAGAAAATCTGCACATTTTCACAATATAAATCTGCGTCTTGCGTTTACTGCAAGTAATCTTCACAAATATTGAGTTGCATGTCAGGCGACGTATCGTATTCTTCGGTGTAATATTGCGGCAACCATTGCCAAAGCTTAACCCGTTTTACGAACCTATTCAATTTGCTGTTCAACATACGACACTTTTCGATTCTTATTGGATATCCATCCAATGCACCACGTGCAGGTCAATTTATTTACTGTTACTGATATTGCTGGAACCTTAGTTTAGATTATTTAAGTCTTGGATTTGTTATAAATTTATTATGGTCGTGACAAGATGGAAGTGATAGAAGGATGACACTGAAAGGATGGAAGAAGAAAAAAATTTATAAAAAGTTATTAACTTCGCGTAGGGCAAGTTGTAGTGATCGCAAAAATATGGAAAATAATTTTTTTTAAATGTCTTTACGTTTCAAAACCCTCTGAACATTTTGGCATACCTTAGAAAAAATGGATGGATGTATGTGTGTGTGTGCGTGTATGTGTGTGTGTGCGGATACAAATTTTCGTCGACGATTTCGGGAACACGTATGAAGCAATTTGAGTAATTCAAAAACATTCGATTCGTATTGATAAGGAGACGTGCTGATTAGATTTTGGCGGAAGCAGGTCTAGCTCAAAATGTGCCAAAAACGGTAACTCAGTTTTTAAGAGAACGGAGCGTCCGATTTTAATAATTCAAAAAGCATTTTACTTGTATTGACAAGATGAAAAATTGATCAAATTTTCATGAAGGTAGGTCTAGCGGTTTAGGAGATCTAATGAAAAAAGTAAAAAAATGCCATTTGGCGGTCAAAAATGATCATTAAACATATGCACATCAAATTATCAGATATTTTTTAGAGATTTTAACAATAACTATAAATTTTGTTTACATTCCTATGGGTTCCGTACCAATGTTTATCCGTTAGCCGCCGACGCGCCGCTTACGCGCTTTGAGATATTGACAATTCTTCAATTCAATTAATTTTGACAAATTCTTCTAACAGGTTGAAGAAATTCAAATAATGAGCTTATTAATGTGTACGCGTTGAAGTGTAAATATGAAAAAAATAGCTGTACAAAATTCAAATATTTGATCCAAGTATGTGGATAAAATACCGAAACTTTCAAAAAAAATCTTTTGGACCGGTTCTGCCCATTCTCCAACCAACTATACTAAATATTGACAGGAGTCATGTGGTTTCTGGTGCAGTCAGGCGTTTTTATCAGGTTGTCAGATAGAAAACACAACCTAGAAACCGCACAAATGTAAAAAAAACGATGTTAGATATTCAAATATTCAGAACAGGGTTTTTCTGACCCAGCTTCATAACATACACATGACGTTGCTTGGAAATTATTAAATAAAACTGTAGAAGCAAGGATATCCTATAATATACTTATGTATTGGACGTCTTTGAATTAGATAGGCTCCATCTTCTGCTTACTGTCAATTAATATTGCATATAATAATTATAAATGTTTTAAACAATAATAACTTAATAAATTAAATTGTGAATGGTTAACAGCATAAAATTGAGAAAATAGATTTGTTACCTTAGCACTATTCATCGAATAATTTTCTTATTTTGAATTTCAATGATTGAAATCTTGAGTATTTTTAAAACACATATTGTTTCACACGTTTGTGATGTGTTCCGTAATGTTGTCTGATGTTGTATAGCTCTAGTAATTAGATGGCAATTAGTTTGCTCTATAATTGGAGAGAGAGTATTTATCAGAAGGTGCAAATAGAAATCTTACGGCTTTGATTGTGCGTCAATTAAGCAATCTGGAATAGAGACAATGCAGTAAAATTAATCATGCAAGAAGTTATTTACACCTTGAAAATGTTAATATAGAGAAACTTAGATTTATCAAGAACAATTAATATTGTATTTTTTTTTAAATTATAGTCCATGTCACATCTAGAATGTGTTTAGTCTATGTATCTAGAAATCGTTTTTTTTATCGGTTTCATAAAAGTTATCAAATGTAAAAAAAATATGTAGTCTTTTTGTAAACATAAAACATCATTAACCGAGTTTAAGTATTACTTCTTGATAATAATATTTTGAAAAAACTTGATATAATAAAATTTTGTAAATTATTTTTTTCTTTGATTTAGTATATCACACTACAAATACAGTCACATTGATTTTCTAAAAATATAATTTAATATGTGAAAAAATGATATCGTTTATTCATTGCATGTGAATTTTACAGGCAGTGATAAGTTCTATAATTTATTTTTTATGGTTGTACATACTTATATAAATATTCGATGTTTCTGAATTTTATAATATTAATGCACAGAGACGAAATATCGAAGCGCGTAAGCGCCGCGTCGCCGTCTAACGGATAAACACTGGTAAGGAACCCATAAGAAACAAAATTTATACTTATTGTTAAAATCTCTATAAAATATCTGATAATTTGATGTGCATATGTCTAATGACTATATGACTTTTTTTACTAGATCTCCGAAACCGCTAGACCTGCCTTCATGAAAATTTGATCAGTTCATCTTGTTAATACAAGTAAAATGTTTTTTGAATTCAAATCGGACGCTCCGTTGTCTTTAAAACTGAGTCACCGTTTTTGGCACTTTTTGCCCCGTATCTTTGTAATGGCTAGACCTGCCTTCGCCAAAAACTAATCAGCACGTCTCCTTATCAATACGAATCGAATGTTTTTTGAATTATTCAAATCGCTTCATCCGTGTTTCCGAAATCGTCGACAAAAATTTGTATGCGAACACAACATACGCACACACACACACGTACACACACACACACACATACATCCATTTTTTAAGGTATGCCAAAATATTCAGAAACCTCTGAAACGTAAAGATATATAAAAATTTTCATTTTCGATTTTTTTGCGATTACTATAACTTGCCCTACGGGAAGTTAAAAATCAGATTTTCCGGTTTTATATCTACAAGTTTATCTAGAGTTTAAAATTTGCAGACCGAAATATATAAACTGATTTTTCAACAAATATTTGATTCAGCATAATTATTTCATTTGGTTTATCTAATATTTAGTAATTTCTTTTTATTTAAGCTCGAATCGAATCACAAACTCCAACAATATGCTGTTCGGCATGCGTGTCCTGAAGCTTCTATTCAATTCGCGAGTTAATCGTGCGATATATAAATAGCGTTTTTGCTTAATGATTCAATTTATTGCTTCTATTTTCATTCTTATTATTGTCGAAAATATCATCTATATTTATCTATATGTTTATTGGCTCAATAATCAGCTAATTAAGTAACAAATAAAATCATAGCATAAAACTGGAAACAAAAGAGGGTGATTAAATATGATATAAAATACGGGCTTTAGCTTTGATTGTTGAAAAGTTTATAAATATAATGAATTTTTTTTTCGCTTTTTTCATAATCTTAAGGTTATAAATCTTGAATATTTTATATAATACTGCTTGATATCAAGCAGCATATATTGTATATTTTTTTACATACATTGTTTTCACTACGTGGTTTTACATATTGACTATCAAGGCTATGAAGGCTCTCCCTGTATAACTAAAAAAATTCAACAAACAAATGATCGATTTGTTCTGGTTAACAGTTTAGTTTAGAATTTTTAGAAACGTTATAGCAAATTAACTGTTATTGAATAAATGATCGGTTTCAAATCAATCTTTAGCAGCTTATATTTATGAATTTAATCTATATTATTTAATCATATTAATTTAAACAATTAAATTATAGTTTTATTAAATATGTGTCCGATTCTCCGGGTAGCAACACATTTTATGATCTAGCAGTGAATCACAATTTTTAACAGAGTTCGGTAGTTTCTCTTGGGATTTCGAGCTCTCATCAGAGCAGAATCGATCAGTCTTATATATTAGCATTTTTTCCAATGATTTGGAACAGCAGAGTTAGATAATTCTTTGTACCATCGATCAATAAAACAACTTTTACTCTGTTTTATTAACAGTTAATTACAACTGTTTTTTGTAATTTTAATCATATAATTTTTATTTGGAATAGGTAAATTCGGGCACCGCTTTTCATTTTAGAACATTCTGGGTGATATTAAAAATAAAATCTAATAAAATATTTTTAAATTATACAAATTTTACTTCTGAGAATTCTCAATGACGTACAGAAATATACAATATTATTTTCCCAAGCAGGTCGTTTTTTTGCAGAATTGAAATTTATTTTTATTTCATCGAATATCACGTTGTTTTCGCAAGGCGTTATAAAAATCTTCAGCGTTTTTGTTTTCTTATTTGCTTATATTATTATTATTAAGATATAAAAATTTCTTATCGTATTATTATAAAGAATAGTAAAAGCATTCCAAATTTACGTACCAAATACATTTTGCTAAAGCGGCAAAATTTATTAGAAAAGTGATTAGTTAAATATGTGTAGTGATGCTACTTATTTTTGTAACCTATATATATATATATATATATATATATATATATATATATATATATAGGTTACAAAAATAAGTAG